AAGTTTGAAATAAATCTGTCCGCTTAAAGTGGGTCAAAATCGAGTCCAAAGGAGTCGGTTACAAACATACATACATACAGGTGAAGCTAATAAAAGGGTGTTAAATAGCGAAATGTCGAAACAGAAGAAATAGATGGCAGGCACGTGTTCAAGGGTTTCGTGCAACAAAAAGTGTTGTTGTGTTGCGCCATTCAATATTAAACAACTTTAATGTGGTTAAATACACTTTTTTATTAAGTTGAAAAAACTACATATTTCGCCGGCCAAAAAGTGTATACATAAATATATAGCATCTTGCTATAAGATTTATTTATAAAACGGTATATGCTTATGGCCTTATTCATAAAAAATAAAATAGATTTAAAGAGCTCTGTACAGTGACATAAAAAAAACTTTACTTTTTAGGAATTTGGGTATAACATTTAACTTAACTTTTTGTGCACCCATCTCTTTTTCTGTTTATTCACCCCTATTCTGGTTGTCGTAAGTCGTTCGCATCGACAGTCGTTCGCTGAATTATGTCGTAAATAAAAAAATTAACGGCAGATTTTAACACGTTTTCAATACTTCTTCATTTCGAAGGGATAATAGGAATAAAAATTTGTAGTGGATTATGTCACTGGTTGCCTCATAATGCCAATGAAAATCTCAAATTTCGACGAACGACTGTCGTTTCGACAATGGGAATAGGGCCGCGTAGTTATTATTCTGTTGACATCTAAATCGTTGCCAATACATTATTTTCTGGCGTTTCCTCTGTGAACTTTTATAACTACATTCATAAAAATATTACTAATTTTTGTTTATAATTTTTTTCATCTTGCTATTGCTGAATATCAAAAAGGAATTAGTAAATAATAAAAAGTTAGTTACAATTTTAGTGAATGGTTCTTGCAAATAATATTATTTTGTGGTTGTTATGACTTGATTGCCGGCAGGAACTAATCAACTTTTTTGCCAAAAACAAAGCAGACGTGAAGGAAAAACAGTTGTTCATCAACGATTTGTCTGAAATATCGTTCTTGAAACGCGCCACTGATCACTAAATTTGTAAAAATCAAATTTTTTTCACTTAATTGTTATATTTTTGTTAATTGTGGTAAATTTCCAAATCATCACAGCACCTGGCTGTCAAACTATCAAGAACAGCAGAAATATCTGTTAAAAAATTTCATTTCATACTGGTTTCAGGGGAAAAATTAACATCTTAAATCTTTGAAGGTCGCTGGCGTTTAAAAAGCCGTAAAGCACTGGGCGATTTATATTATGGAGAAAAAAATTCTTAAAGAAAATTCGGCTTGGTATCGGGTTTCGATACGAGTATTTTTTTTCGATACCTACTCAGTACTTGGTTCAAAAGTATCGATACCAAAATTACTTGGTATCGAACGAAAAGTAAGAGTATGTACTTGTATTTACTCGTATCGTTTCATCCCTAATTTGGAGAAAGCATGTGAAGCACAAGGACGTAAGGATTGTACTTTGTTGAACAAGAAGAAATACAAGTCGCTGCTGTGTCATACTGAAATTTCTTTCATCTGGTTATCCAATAAATACGAATCAGTTTGAAAAGTTTGTCATTGAAACGGGGCGCCAATGGGTCAAGACACATCCATGGTATAAGCTTCCTGCAACTGTGCATAAAATTTTGATTCACGGAACAGATTTTCATTTTCATTTCATTTAGTAATCAAATCATTAGCACAATAAGATCAAAAGACAAGATTTTTTATAGCGCAACACAATATTCATAACAGTACATATGTATGTACATATCGTCACCTGAAATGCAAAAAGACGTTACAAATGAAATGGAAAAAGTCGTGACTAATATTTTAATTTTTTTTCATAAAATGATGTGGGCACTTGGAATTCGATGAAATCCATCACATAAATCAAAAAGTGAATTTTTTATTAGTGAGGACTTTTTGCATTTCAACGATGATGCTTGTTACGTCTTTTGCATTTCAGGTGACGATATAACTAAAACGGCAAAAACTACTTAAGACTAAATACAAGTAACATGAGATAAGCAACAGAGAAAGTAGTATTTTTAAGTGAGTTCTCCGATTGCAAGACATATACATAAAATAAGACTTCATTAAACAAGTACATAGAGAGCACATCTCAGAGACTGGAGTGATTTTTAGAGTTGCTTTTGTTTAAACTACTGCGAATATGGGATGGAATAGAGTTCCAGATGCGGATAGCATTGACAAAGAATAGACATGCAGAGCTGAGATAATTGTAGGTAGGAACAGTCAAGTCCTTTACTCGAGGTGACTTGGGGAGCGTTAATGTGATCAATAATTTACTTCTTGGAATAGGGCAAAATCCGAAGAGGCAGCCGAAGCGAATAATTTATATATATACTAATTATATAAAGAGAAATTTTTTATATAAATAGCTTTCAGCAACCCCCATGTAATAGGCCAAAAAAATTCACTTTTTCTGGTAGGTGGACCAGGGACCGTTCTATTCGAAAAAATCATATTATGGTCCGGTTTGCTTAAAATTTGGTAGGCAGGTAGCTTTTTGCCGAAATTAGCATATAGTATCATTTTTTCCGGTGAGTGGTCCAGGGACCGATCTGTTCGAAAAAATCGTATTTATAGTCCGATTTCCTCGAAATTTGGTACGTAGGTAGCTTTTTGCCTAGACTAGCATATATAATTCCCTTTTTCCAGTAAGTCGGCCAGGGACCGATATATTCAAAAAAATCGTATTTGGGGTGCGATTTGATTGAAATTTGGTAAGTAGGTAGCTTATTGTCTGGATTAACATATAGGATAATTTTTTCAGGCAGGTGGACCAGATACCGAGGTATTTGAAATCAATCCTATACTCATGCAGAAAAGTAGGGGTTATTGGAAAAGAGGAGTGGCGTCTTCCAAAAATACTGAAATTTTTACCTATCTGGAAATACATATCGTTACCTTAATAAACAGCGGCCCTAACCAACACTTTTTTCGAAACTGCGTTTTTTACAGATTGTAGTAGGATGTATTAAAATATACCTTCAATAAAAATTTTAAAGTGTTAGTACCAAAAACAACGGAGCTACATGCCACATGCTACCTGTTTTTGAAACTCATGTTATAATATTTTTTGCTTCTCCTGTAAAATAAAAGTTTTTTGGTTAGGGCCTTTGTGAATTACGATATAAACTTCTTCGGTAAGTGTGTTTGTGAGTGAAGCCCTCCTAATGTATTAATGTCGGATGAAGGGCATTTCCAAGCAAAACTGTAGTTGTGAGGCTCTGAAAATCTAAGGGCAGCACACCAGTACCAGTTACACCAAATCCAGATGCACTTTTTGGTGCGGTGTTATGACCGAAAAAGTTATCGGCCCATATTTCTTCGAGAATGAGGATGAAACGACAGAAATGAAACTTTTTATTCAGTAGCTTTAGAAATATTTTGGGTATGCAGTTTTGTAGCCCATTAAATTTTAGTAGGTTAAAGTGCAAATTTGAAGACGCTAGAAAATCGCGTTGATTTTTAATATTTTTTTTTGCTGACGGTGTTGTGCCCTTTCTTCCATATAAAGGATGCTCGACACTTTTGTTTGTATGGGAGAAATGCACCATCAGCAATTTTTGGGTGCAATGTTTGATGAATTTTCATAATTTTTGTTGGAAGTTTGAAATATGCATTTATGTGGCGCTTATAAACATTAAATAAACTAAAAAAAATAGCCAAAACTAGTCAAAATGTCACTTGACTTAATCAACTGACCACAAGTGTATGTATGTATGTACAGTAGTGGTTAAAATGTATGGGACTACATCTACGTCTTTAAAATCTATGTATATCTTATCAATGGCTTATTTGAGAAATAATGGTTCTTGGGCTTTTTTAAAGAAGGATATTTAGTCGGGTACATGCACTTTGAAATGAAATACATTTTGTTTGATGCCCATATTGTAAACTACACTTTTTTATCTTCTTGGTGCACATTTTGGTCGATATCTTCGGAACGGATCGAGATATGAAATTGTAGTGCAACTCAAAGCACTTCTGACTTTTCGCAGCACACGAAGCGATTAAAATCGCTAATAGCGATCAATTATACAAATTCATATGGCGGTATTTGTGGTGCAGCGACTAATACCGGCATAAAAATTGCATAAGATCACAAATTCTTATGGCGATGTTACCAGACTATCAAATTGGCTCAAACCGTGCAATTTTTGGCCTTATTTTACTTCAAATAGTACTTAGTTTTGCAACTTGCCACAATATTTAAATATATTTTTATGAAATCCTTTGCGTGCACTTCTTTTTTCCAGCTAAAATTTTCTAATTTCTAAAGTTCATACAACTCGTGTATCTGAAATATTTTGGCATTAACCTTTTGTTTTAGAATTATGGTTATTTTATTGCTAAATGGGAAGGAAATAAACAATAATCTTCCAATTAAAAATAATAGTACTTTTTTTGCCACTTTTATTTTCCTATTTGGCACTTTTTTATCCTCAATATGGCACCTAATGGCCGAGGATAGTTGGCAGCCCTGGCTGTTGCTGTCTGCGCCATAAACTCCGCCATATGAATTTGTATAATTGATCGCTATTAGCGATTTTAATCGGAACGCGCCACGCGAATCCGCTAGGCCATGAACCTGGACTAAATCAGGGATGCCTGAAAGGTAGCCAGCGGACATAGCTTTTTTTAAAATCTTCCTGGAAAACGGATTCAGCTCTCAACTTCCTCTCCTGCTCTCAGAAAATACTATTCAATGAATCGATATTTGCGAGCAATGTAGATACATTTAGCGCATTCTCCATTCACGAATTGGTACTACGAGGAATGTAAAAATTTTAAGGCAGGGACAAGCTCCTGAAAGAATGGATACGGCCATAGCAAACCGCGGATACAGCCAAAACTCCATTCGATGATGATTGAATCGATGTAAACAAGTTTCATAATTTTAATTGCACTTTTATTTAAACACATACCTAAAACAAGAAAATAATTAACAAATACATATGTAAGTACTTATGTAACCTTGTTACAAAGCACCACAAGGCCCCCTTTCAATGTCTCACGCGGAAACGTCTTACATCGAGATTTGCGTTACTCAGTCCTTCACCGCTACCACCATTACGATAGTGATAACCGTCATCGCTTAAGAAATGCGCTGGCATAGGCTCCGCTGCTGTTTGTGCAGTGGGAGATGCGGCGCTGCTCATCGATTGGAATTGAGCAAAAAACACGGGCGCATCATCATCGACACTTCCGGGCTGCGTCATCAGCTGATGGTGTCGAAGCACAAATTCGACTGGCGGCATTTGCTCTGGCTGTGGCGTTGGTTGTGATGCCTGGTATTGCTGCTGGTAGTTAAGCTGTTGAGCTGCAGGCGACTGTGGTGGTAGATAGTAGCTAGCCGGCTCTTCGGCGAGCGCTGGTGGCGTTGGCTGATGAGCCGATTGCTCTTCAAACATTGCTGTGGCTTCTTTGGCGGATTCTTGTGCGGCTTCTGCTACATTTTCGGCTTCTCCAAATGGACTTAGATATTCACGTGTCGGTTCCATTTGTGGCACAACTTCCATTGACGGCGAGGACATTTCTAATGTCGGTGGAGACATATTTGATGTTGGCGGCAAATAACTGGATGCTGGCATTGCCTGAGATCTTTGCTCAGGTTCCATTTGCTGGTGCATTTGCATTTCATGTCTTTGAATTTGAGGAGCCAAGTATTGCCTTGGAGGCATTTCAAGCATCTGCTGCTGTGGTGGCAAGTAATGCACAGCTGGCGCTGATTGTTGCTGCAGTTGTTGCCCACTGCTGGGCATTGTTGGTGCTGGAGCCAAATACTGATTGTTTGGCATGGCCATTGACGCCTCTCGAGATTCATGCTCTTGAATAGACATTGACATTGGCGATAAATACTGTCTCGACGGAGCAGAAGTGTCCTGGAGCGTCTCCTGTTGGTCATGAGCATTCACATCTGGAGCGAAATGATGATTACTATCGGCAGTTATTGAATTCATTTGTTGTGGTTCATCAGATGAAGTCATCGGTGGCGCCAAGTACTGACGCATAGGCATACTATTTTGTTGCCTTTGATTAGTTGACTCCGTGCTCTCCATGGGTGCCAAATACTGAGTGGCTGGTGCAACGATTGGCTGCTCTTCCTGACTACGTGGCGGTGGTGGTGGTGGTGGTGGCGACAACAGTTCTCTCGGAATCATCATTTCCAACGGCAACTCCCCACTGTGTCCCCTTGCAGGCATGCCGCCGCCCTGATTGTTGCTGCTTGAACTGCTGGCTGCACCTATGCCATAAGGCTGCTGCCCTGGTTGTAGATATTCTGTTTGAGTTGGCAATTCGCGCAGTTCCTGTTTCTCAATGGTGGTCACAATGCGTTCCTTCATACGGGTATTTGGCAACCTATCACTCGGCTGCATCATTGTTGCTCTAGCTGTGCTACTTGGCATCATCGTTTTTGGTGGTATGTAGTGATTGGTCAAATGTGAGACATCTGCCATGGTTATGCCGAAGGCCGCGCAGGCTGCAAGCGCCAAAGTGGTAAAATGCTGTAAAAAATTCCATATTTAAAATATTTCAATAACTATTTCGTGCTCGTATTTAATTATAATAGCTTGGCATTTGATGGCACCTGCAATACTAACCATCTTCTCTGTTGTTGTTGTTGTGTCTGTGCTTTTTCTTAAAGTACCGTTCGATTGTGCGTGCGGTTTGTGCGTTAGCTGTTTTGGCGAAGTGTGCCTCTAAAATGACGGTTCGATTGTGATTGCAATCCGCTAACGAACACTTGCTTTTTATATTAAAGAGTTGGAAACAAGTAGACCTTGAGGAGTTACATATAAATATTTTCGAGTATGACGAAGAAGAGTGTAGACGCTCATAGCGGTTTTCAATAGGTCTTGTGATCGATTTTTCTTCTTTTTTTTGCAAGTGGAAGAGTTCATCGCACTATTTGGGCTGCACATTTGGCCATTTGGCTTGCTATAAAAAACAGAAGATCGGCGTGTAATAAAGACTTTCGGAAGTACTTTAATTGTAAACATATTTATTTTGCATACGTATATTTAGCGGTATCTGCACAAATCGTAAGTGTACTTTGGTACAAGTAATTTGAGATGATAGCATTGAAAAATTTACAATATGTAAGTACATTAATGTCGCTCATTTATGTACTAAATAATCGAGTGTCACAACTCAAAAGACGAAATTTTTGAAATAATGCAGAGTTACTCGCTACATCATGCTTCATATCTAGGCGAATTTATATAAGGTGGTGTTACTAGCTCAGCTGATTTTGTGTATGTGTTTCGCCGCACGGCTTCTGATATCAAATTGAAAAATTTTGTTTGAATTTCTACATACACTCTTACAGATTTTGACAGTTTATGCCGCCAAAGCAAAAACAAAATACATGTAAATTTTTGTGGTTGTACTCCTGCTATCACCTTATATTAATTCGCCTTGCTTCATATTGTGTAAAAGTGTTTTGGTAAAATCTAGAGTAGTTTTTTTTTGCATTTTGGAGGCGAATTGAAAGCTTTAAACGCATCCCTTAAAAAATGTAGTTTTTCAAGTATAGACAGTCTTCTAGCAGATACCCTGCAAACCCAAGTTCCCGAAATCTTAATGAAATCTTCAGGAGTATCTTATTTCTGTAACGATTTTTTTTACGAATCTTAAAGGAAAATTGTATGAAGTGGTTGATACGAACTCGTAAAGAAATTTCTGTACGAAAAATAAAGAAAATTCTGAAAAAAATCTTCCAAGAAATTCTTCAAATAGCAGCATTGCTTTACCGATTTTCTTCCGAAATTTCGTTGAAGCATTGAAAAGCGCGCAGTTTATTTCATTTTAGAAAATTCGGTGAAAAATCGGATGATATCTTTACGAATTCTTTAAAATTTCTCTACAGTTCAGAATACTCTGAAAAATGGTTTGCAGGGTATGTAAATGAGCGATATGTACATTACATGCATAGGTACGTGTGTAGTAGGGTCTTCGTTTATTCGCCTTTTTTACAAAACCGGTTTTCGAGTTATTCGAAAAATTGCAATTTGAAAAAAACGGATCCAGATTTTGAAATTAATGGTAATTTCGTCTCTTCCAGAGAATGTGCAATTTTTTGCCTTAAAAGAGTGCGACATTTTAAGAAACGAACACAAAATGTTTTCGCCGTTTGCCTTTATTTTAGAATCGAACACGAAAAGAGAAAGGGGCAACTAAAAGGCGTCATTCTTTAGTAGAAATCACCATAAGAAACCGAAAAACCCGGTTTTCTTGTACATAGTTTCCATACAGTAAAAATGCTTATAATGGTATGAAGTCATGACCAAAAGTTACAATAAAATTATTAACAATAAATATTGATTTTATTTAGAAAAGGACCAATGAAAATACGTTAAAAATTTTTTTAGATCAAAAGTAAAATAAATAAAAACAGTTTGGTCTCATTTTAACATTCTTTAAATACTTTATTGCATTTTTTCTGAATTTTTTCGGATTGAGTAGTAGGGCCCAGCAACATAATAAGGTTTTTTCAAATAGCGGTCGCCCCTCGGCAGACAATGGCAATTCTCCCAGTGTACAGACTTCTGCAATAAAAAAGCTTCTTGGGAGGTGAAGTAAAAGTAAATCAAACATGTAGAAAACGTTTAAGCGGCAAACATTCATTTATTAGAATTAAATATCATATACTGTTCATACCCAAATAAAATAGGATATAATTTTAAAACTATCTAGTGATTTTCCTTAAACTGGAAAAAGCTTTAAAAACTTCAAAAACCTCAAAACTTTTCTTTAGAGGTCAAGATTTGTATAAAACGAAAAAAACCGGTTTGTCCGATAAAAAAATCCGGTTTATTCGATATTCGGAAAACCGAGATTTCAAAAAACCGCCTAAGATATAAAAAAACCGGTGGTTTGGAAAAACCGAGTCAATCACCCTAGTGTGTAGGTATGTACAGGAGTATGTTTGATTATCCTTATAAATTCAAATTTATGCTAATTATACCCTTCGTGAACATGAAGTGGTATTATAACTTTCGACTAACATCGAGCTGAGTCGCTTTAGTCGAATCCGTCTGTCTGTTTGAACGACTGAAATTTGGTAAACGGAAATTTTTTTATAACATACAATTGATTGTTAAGATGTTTGGGGTTTTACTTTAAAACTCTTTCATTTAGACGGCTAGCATCGAACGATTTCGTGAGTTATTTGCTAATATGTGAGCAGCTAAAACCATTAAATTATGCACAGTAGTGAAAATAATTTAGATTGATGTATTTTTATTTCCAGAAAAACAAAGATTTTTTCCAATAGTTCCAAGCTACATATTATGTTTAACTGCAAGTTTTAAAATACCTATGCTAATCAATTAATCAATTAAGTTAGCAAAAAAATTCTAAGGAAAGAGTTTAACTTTGCTTTTTACCAATCAACTCGTACTCTAAATAGCAAATCTATTGCATTGATCATAATCTCTACTTTGAGAGTGAATAACGTCTTAACTATTACATAAAATTTGCTTATAAAATATTTTGAAGACCATTAAATTTCCAAGCGAAATATGTAATCAGAATTATTGTAGTTGACTTAGTTTATAAGATTATTTACTAAGTTCAACAAAAGGTCAATTCACATACAAATGTTCATACAAAATGTAAAGGGAGTACGTAACGCTTTCTAATTAACTTATTTTGGCTCCATACTTAGTTTTAGGGTAAAATCTTTAATTATAGGGGCCGCTCGAATAAAAAAAACCTACTTGGGAAATAACGGACACTCTAATATTTAGAGTACGACCGAACTTCGGCTCCGGCTTCGGCCATGTTCGGCCACCAAAGTTCGGTTCGGTTTCGGTTCGGCTTCGGCCTAAAAAAAAACCGAACTTTGGCCGAACATTTGTCAATTTTTGTACCCGTGCGCACTTGTGCACAAGGGTATTATAACTTTGTGCGTATAACGGTTGTTTGTAACAGCCAAAACGAATCGAGATAGATATTGAAAAATGTATACATAAATGCTCAGAATGAAAAGAGAAATCGATTAAGCCATGTCTGTTCGTTTACACGATAACTCGAGAAAAAATTGAGTTATGTCCACGAAATTTGGTAGGTAAGTTTCCCTTTATCCATATAACGGTATTTTCGAAATATGTATGCAAAAACTACGCCATTTCCCAAAATACTGCATCCAAATTGTTGAAAGTTGGTACGCGAAGTAGAATTTGGGGCATAAAATCAAACCGTTATGCAATTTTTTGAAAATGGGCGGGGCACCGCCCGCTTACTATGAAATGCTGCATCTCCGTAGTCCCTTTACCAATCCCCACCAAACTCGGTACGAACCATGATACAAAAATAGAAGGTAGTTTCATTTATTGACATTCGTTGTTGTTGCCGACCACTTGACTTTTAATAAGTTTATGACATTTAACTAAATTCATGCTACAAGATTCACTAGCAGCAAAATTTTTGTTTCTTGAAAAAATAAAAGAAAATTTTGAAGTTAGTGAAGTTGGATGAAAATATTAAAAGTAAAGTCTTGCGCGTTCTCAAACTGAACGAATTCGATACACCGGTGCAAAGGTTCGAAAAAAAAGTATTTTGCTTTACCGAGGATAGAGTACGTAATACGATCTAATTGCTGGTACAAAATATTTGTAAACCTCTAACCGATGTACCGTTATCTGTGGAAGAGGGGTGAGGTCGAGTGAAATGATGCCCTGCAACTTGTAACAGTAACAATTTTATGATAAAGGCGTGGCGCTGCTAAAAAATAAATATACATAAATATAACCACGAAACTATGTATTTGTGACAAGAATTATTCACATAAGATGAAAACTAGTTCAGTTTCATTTAAAAAAAAAAAAAAAAATTGTTTACAGAAAAATGCATAAGACAGTTTGGGTACGGTTCGGTTATTTGTACAATGATTTTGGGTTATCGTGTCCAAACGCGTGACCCGAATCAAAAAATTGTAAAATATAAGTCTAGCCAAAGGACTAAGCTTTAATTTAAAACAAAAGTTTCGGTTTAAAATATGCATTTTTTTTTGTAAATTTGGAGGTAAATTTTGCGCAAAAATACTGTGGATGGCGTAACCGGAGTGGGACTGATGAGGTAATTTTTTCTAGCGCGGCCGAAGGCCACCAACGCGGAAAAGATTACTGCTGATGGCCTAACACGAGTTTAATTTTTCTTTGCGAAAATGCCAATTTTATCCCATTTTGAAATGGGCCCGAGTGCCTGCTGAAGAAGGCAGGGAGATGAAGGATGAATTTTCTTAAAGTTTATACTGTGCTCTTTCTAATGAGTTTTAGGTGACACACACCTTCCCCCTCCGCTCACCACCGAAAAATCATTTCACAAATAACCGAACATTTCCAACGCACAATATTAAATCCTCTGATGTATTGTTTGATTGCTATCAATGTGGCAAGGTAGCTTATAATTTTGTACAATTCTGTGTTCATATGGAAAAGTAGCTTATGTCGAAAAGCTGGCTTTAGTATAAATCGGCATTCGCAGCATA